CTGTTCAACTGCCTCCCAGCATACATAAGGGGGATTACCAATAGACCTCTGGCTATCTTCAAGCAGCCACTGGACAAGCACCTAAAGTCGGTACCTGACAAGCCGGGCTGTGGCTCGTAAGTTGGATTGCGTGCAGCCAGCAGTAACAGCCTGGTTGATCAGGCTCTGATCCATCAGGAGGCCTGGTCACAGACCGGGACGCGGGGGCGTTGACCCCCGGCACTCTCTCCAGGTAAACTCCAGGTAAATCACCAGGGGCTTTCTATATAGTAGTACATCATTGATGTCAGCTGTTGTCTGTATACCTCATACATATACTTGTAGAAATAAAGATTATTATTATTATTATCATTATTATTATTGTTATTATTATTATTATTATTATTATCGCTGTCCTAAACCCGGTCGAGATATCCTTTCCCTGCAGGTCGTATTCTTTACTTAGAGAGAACGAGAAAGATACCTTTTTTTGGTGGCAGTTCGAGCCCCAGGTGTGATCAGTGTGAAGACAGCAGATCACAGGTGTAGATCTACCTCCAGCTGCTTCTTAGATGCCGTAGTCAATATGAGGTACCAATTATAAGCCCCAGTAATGTATGTGGGTCAGAAAGGATGAGACACTTGTGACTTAACAAATCCGTAACATTTAAATTGGGTTATATTAGATAAAAATAATGCGACATTAATAAGCAAAAAAAACAGTAAATAGAAAAGTATGACTAAATATTCCCCTACAGACAGACAAATAATTATAGAATATGCATGACGTATTAACAGAAACAGTGGACAAAACCGAAACAATTAGAAGATATTCTCCCATTCAGATTTAATTATAGTCGAGACAGAGCCTCTGTTAACACAGTAAGTAGTCTCTTAATGCACTGAATGCTGATGACAAATGACTGAGTGAAGCCTTAGTGCCCGGCTGATGAGACACACATTCCTGTTCTCGCAGTGGATGAAACTGCTGTAATTATGGTCGTGGTACAACTTGATAATGTGGGAAAATAGTTCCTAGATATACCTTAAAATATTCATATGTACTCACCATTTCCAACACTTCTTTTTCAACAGTATTATAATTACACTGGTGTCACTTGACCTTTGCTATCAGATGTAAAACACCTGTGTTCTGGATGTCTTAGAGGTGTACAACACCAATGCCAGCCTCACTTATATCATCGTGTGAAACAAATGAACATAAGAAATCAGGATTCTACGAAATGGGAGCAAATGTTAACAAAATGGTTCTTTATTACTAGTCAAAGCAGAAAGAGGGGCAGCAGTTTGTGAAAAGTTTAGGAAAAATCGATCATCATAACCCTCTATGCTCAGAAATCTCATGAGAGATTTTCAGTCTTTTGAAGATGGATAAGACAATATTGACATCGATTTTCTCCTGCTTTGGATCCACTGATTTCTGTCCTCTTATGTGACCTAGGAAAATTACATCACTTGCCGAAACTCACATTTTACCAAAGTAACAGTGAAAATGCCATAGATCAGGCATTCAAAGAGAGCCATTAGTTGCATTATGTGAGAGTCCCATGTCTGGCTCACAACCAGGTCATCTAAATAGAATTCAACACCAAGCAGTTCCTACATCACCTCGTGCATAATGCACTGAAATGAAACTGGCACATTGTACGTTCCAAATGGCATGACCTTGTAGTTAAACAGACTGACATGCGCAGTAAAGGTAGATGAATTGTTTTAAAGTTATAAATAAAATCCTTAGAAGATAAAAAAAATCAGACAACTATAAATTATCCTCTTTAACTATCTGTGCCAAGAGTCACAGGTTGTATGGATACAGAAAAAGGTAACAATTTACAGTATCTGAACCCTATTACCTTAAGTAAAATGACACTCATGATTATACAACCCTCTGCCAGGTGTTAAAAACAGGAATTATATCAATACTTGTACCTGTCATCTGTAGTCAGTCCTGAGGTGTCCCCCCCACAGCTCGGTTCAGACCATCGTTAAGCGCAAAACTGGTTCTTCTGCAACATACGTTAATTACATGGCCACTTTTTCCAACATTTTGAATATATTTAGTTTGAGCTGTTAATGTAGCAACTCCCTCATTTGCGAGAACATGGTCGTGAAAATGTCTATAAAGAGCTTGTGGTTGTTCACTTTCCTGGAACAGTGTGTCCCCTATGTTGAATTTACTCATTAATTCACGTTTAACTAGCTCGTTAAGACCACCTATGCCTAACCACATGCGCCTCTATAGACTTTCCACTACACTTGCCATATTAAAGTCCCAATAGACTGTTTTATTAGATTTTATTGTATAAATAATATATTCTCATATTCCTAGTTTTTCCCCCCGAAATTTTTCCCCCTTTTCCCTTAGTCTCCCCTCCTAGGAGGAGCCGCCCAGCAGACCTGTCCTAGGATCCCCTTCACTGGTGGTGGGAGGGGTTCCTGCTGCCTCCCTCCATCACCCTCCTCCACATCCACCTTCCCCCTCCCCTCACACACAACTTCCCTACCGTTCCAACCCACCAAACCTCACAATTTTACCTGCCATCACTGTGTTAAAATATCATCACCACCTCACCACTACCACCACCCCATCCCACTACCGACCCACCTCCCAACCATCATTCCTCCACTACCACCACCACCATCACCACACATCGCCTGCCATAACCACTACCTCCACTACTACCACCACTCCACCTTAACACCACCTCACCCTACTAACCCCCCTCCTAACAATTCCCTCTCCCACCACCTGCCTCCACCATCACCACCTGCCACTACCATCACCACCTGCCACCACCATCACCACCTGCCACCACCATCACCACCTGCCACCACCGCGCCCACGTCTGCCCACTTGCAACCTACCTGAGTCTTTATGCAGATTTTTCTCAGATTAATTAGCCATGGTGCAAATTAAGATTGTTTCCATATTGACAAGATGGGAGGTGCGTTAGGTGGTTGTGTAGGTGTTGTAGATGGTGGTCGTGTTGTAGGTGGTAGTGGTGGTGTTGCAGATGTTGTAGGAGACGTGAGGTGGTTGGGGGTGATGTTGATGTTGTGGAGATTGGTGTTGTTGGAGCTGTAGGTGGAAGTGGTGGTTTAGGCAATGGTGGTGATGTAAGTGGTGGTGGTGGTGGTGGTGGTGGTGGTGGTGGTGGTGGTGGTGGTGGTGGTGGTGGTGGTGGTGGTGGTGGTGGTGGTGGTGGTGGTGGTGGTGGTGGTGGTGGTGGTGGTGGTGGTGATAGTGATGGTGTTGTTAGAGCAAGGCAGCAGGACTCACTCCTCCCCGTGTCTCACTCACTATCTTAAGCTTGCCCTTATACCTCCTTTACAGATTCTAGGCTGTATTTTGGCCCATCCAAGAGTAAAGCGGGTAATTATTACTGCGTGAACCCTGCCTCCTCCATGCCTGGGTCACCTTCCAGCCTCACTCAAAATTTACAATACTTACCATATAATTGAAGCTTTACACAAATAACCCGCACATAGAAGAGAGAAACTTACGACGACGTTTCGGTCCGACTTGGACCATTTACAAAGTCACTTTGTAAATGGTCCAAGTCGGACCGAAACGTCGTTGTAAGCTTCTCTTTTATGTGCGGGTTATTTGTGTATCGTTCCAGTCACGGTATTGTGCCTTTTTTTTGTTATTAATAGAAGCTTTATCTAGATATCTTCACGTTACTGTGAAATTAAAATTAAGCCACATTATAACAATTATATAACACAAATGACCTACCCTTGATCCCTACGTCCCTTCAAGGTCAGTACAGGTCAGGTCATTGAGATCTGAGTTACTGGACAGATAAATATTAACTGGGTGGGTGGAAAGTGACCCAGGTTCGTGTCTCGTACTGTTGTGGGTGTGTCCACCCATACCCCCTACACCCGCGCCCACATTTGCCCCTGATCCCTAACCCTCGGTGCTGGAGCTGTAGTCCAACTGCAGTTGCAGACGTGCAGTAAAAATGTCGAAGAAAGCATACCAATCGTTTGAAATTTCCCGCTGTAAATTTAATGCGTTCTGTGTATGAAGGATGAGTCGTCTTGAATCATCCAACGTGAGCTCCAATGTTCTGTTAAGTCACACATGGAATCTTTGATGCTTGTCAACGCTGATAAGCAGAGATTCTCTAACCTTTGTTTTTGGTTTGATTTGGTGTTAATTTGTTGAGTACAATGTCCATAGACTTTAGTTTATGGTCGTAATTATTCCTAAACACGAATATAAACTGACAATTCCAACTGGATGTCGTTACCGTCAGTCCTGGACCGCTATGAACTCGCCAGCAGTCCAGGAAGGACCAAATATCGTTCAGATGTCACTTCCAGTTACTGGATTTGTCACGAATTCTTCCAGTCACGGTATTGCGACTTTCAACCTAAAACATCAGTGAATCAATGTCATGTCTGCAGCACAAGAGGGAAAACAGCCGGGCGTCAGGTATTGGGTATGGGGGGTATGTGGGCGTTTGGGCGTGGTGGTGGAGGGGTTTGGGGGCACGCCTGGGCGTGTAGTACTAGCGGTTGTGGCATCGTGGTGGGCAGTGCCCCGTGTACAGGCAGGCTTGTACAGTAGTGTCGGCTAGGTGGTCCCCACCCTCCAGCACATGCTCCTTAGTAATTCACTAATCCTCTAGCTAAATTGCATTTTGCATCTGTGTCGATGAGAAAACACCTGTTTAATCATAAAGACAGTTTTGGTTAAATTATAGGATTATACAAGATCCAGTTGGTAGAACAGTAGATCATTGAGCAATGTTAAGATTGTCATGCATCTATGTTATAATAAGATTCTGTGTGACCCTGTGACATACTAGCATCGCACCACTTGTCCTGACCATGCATGCTGACCCCTGGTAGAGGCGGGTGGGCAGTGGGTAGGCCAGCTTCATGCCCTAGTTAGCTTTGGGTAGTGTGGTTTTTCTCTGGCTCATCTATCGTCTGCTGCTGGCGGCTGCCACACTGTGTACTAATCCCATCCACTGTTCTTTCCACAG